TTTATTATCTTGTATTTTTTTAAATTATTTTTCATATTCCAATCGCGAGATTACACACACACGTACGTGTACATTACATATTATATGTAAAATTTACTATAAAATTTACCAATATTCCCATGAGCGTACAAACGAGATACATTCCAAATCTGGATATAGCCCAGTCTCGAAAATCAATGTCCGCACCAATTACTCCGCCTAAGATCGGCTGCACTAAATACCACAAGAAAAAGAATGCTTTGCGAATAGGCGTTACCTATAATACAAAAAGATCAACAAAATCTACTTTTCCGTTTTCTTGAAATATATATCTATAAAAAGATGGAACAAGTCGAAAAGAAAATTTCAATGCATATATTTCGACAAATTGCGTATTTGCTCATTAATGTCATACGATATATTATTCATGTGTACTTACGTCGTGCGAAACCGATAAAATTCGCCATCCATTAATCGCTATGAATGATAATATAATGGCAGCGAGGTATCCTCCACCTGTAACTGCCAGTCTTGATGCTGCCGTGGTGCACATTAAAGATGCTAGAACTAAACCGCCGACTCGGTACCACATCGCGTATTTCTGCATGATAAGTAACATAAACATAGGATATGGATAATAAATCGTATATCAATAATAATCGTAAATGCTTCCTCGGACATGGGTCCGTTTCTCTTTACATTCGGTGAAGACATTTCTCTAAGATATCTTCACCGAACAAGAAACGCAAAGTTCATCCGCGACAATTGATCCGTCTTTTATTCTGCGTAAAGAAATCCAAATTATTTCTGTCTAAGAGGCATTAATTGTTTATACAATTGATAGGCTATAATAAGCCTATCTTGTTTCCGCGGATCGGCAAATTTCGTAGCACATACCGCGAACGATATCTTAATAAAGCATCGCGGAAAGGTGTTAATAAGTCCGCCCTTATTAGTTCAGATCACACAGACGTGCACTCGCGCGAACGTGACCTGAATTTTGCGAGCTCCTGGACGCGGCGAAATGAATAAAGTACCTACGTGATTGCGATGAGGGAAAAAGACCAGGGCAAAGCCCAAGATAATTCCCACTATGACTCCCAGGAGGAAATCTCGAATCCCGCCAGGGATATAGGACCACCATTCTGTTCTCCTGTCATCTAGGAAGATGTATGGCTCACTTTATGGAAAGCTCTTTGTACGTTTAGACTTTTTATGTTTTCTGGCCACCACATAACGGTAACTTAGTATCACAAAGTGCTAATGCATCAGTTGCAGAAGATTTATTAATTATTTAAATCCCGAATTTCATGAAATATTGAAATGCATGGGTTTTTACGAAACACCCGAATAATCCTGATTTTTCGCGAATTTTCGTTTCTCGAAAATGCGGCATATTTTATCATAAAATAATATATAAAAATATTCATCTTGTCTTTTATTCTTGAAAATTTCATTTACGGAAATTTCGAGAATTTTTCCACGTACAGAATGTCGTTTGCTTGGATTAAAATCGAGAAGAATCGGGTTCCAGCATACTATTGCGGTGCTTTACGTTTTTCTTACGACCGTTTTGTGTACCGTTGCTGAAAACGAAAGAGAACCAAATGGAGAAAAGGGACACGATGTGCACATCGTCGATAGAAGCCGCCGTGCATAGCAAACTGGCTAATCCTTTGTTTTCTCCATAACCGCGTTCAGCTAAGGCGAGCATGCAGTTGACCGTCACTACGGGAGACATGCAAGCGACGATCGTCCTTGAAGAGAACTTGTTACTGCGTAAATCTTCTTTACATGTTTCATATGACAGGATGAAAATTTCTTAATTACTAATCTAGCTAATGGAGCTTTAAGCCATAAGCAATATATTAGATAGTATAGCACATTAATTTTATAATAAATGAGTGGATTCTCTACTAGTATAAGTAACCAGATTAGTAATAGAAATCCTGTGTTTCAATGGGATAAGATCCCTTTTTGGCAGGGGTCGTTAATGTCACTCACCCCGTCATAAAAGACCAATTCCATGGATATTCGAGGAGATATCTGCACAAGACGCTGACCGTCAACATCTCGACGGAGCACGGGACGAGCGCCAGGATCATCACGAACACTGGATGCGCCCTCAGAGCGGTTGTCGTCAGCTGGAGACCGGCACGTACCATGATGAAGGTCAAGCAGAAGGTCCTGATCTTGGAGGTTGTGCCCGGCCCGAGCTCGTCGTGTATATTGTACACGTCAGTGTTGCGCAGTATTATGCCGGCGAGCAGCATACCGAAGATAGGCGGTAGATGCAAGTAGGGAATGCAAGTTAGACTCCAGCCGAGCGCGTAGGAGAAAACGACCAAGACGAAGAGACCGAAGATGCTACCACCGGGTAACACCACGTCGCCCAGCAGGAAGTATAAAACAGCCCAGGCCAGCAGAGTCAAGCCGCTCACAGTCGCGAGCCAGAAGAGATCCGCCCAAGTCAGCTGCAGGTCGAAGCACGTGGAGATCACGTCGGTCACGATGATCTCTCGCAACATCGGGTTGCAGAAGGTCGCACGGTGGCAGCAGGTGTTGTCATCCCATTCCTCGTCTTCTTCATCCGCTACTGGACCCAACCTGGAACACGATCGACGAAGTGTTAACTTTATTGTTTCATGTTAGAACGATGTGTCGTCGTCAGCTCAGTAATAACTTGATTCAGTACAATAGTACTGAGAAAAAATAGTTGAAAATTTCTTTACGGGATATGAAGTCTATTTCTGAAATAAGATTTATTTTTCTTCGAATATACTTTATATGCCACACAAATAAATTTTCAAGTGTTTTTTTTTTCTCGAGCGTCGCTCATTAAGAACTCGTCAACTAAGGAATTGTTTGCACGCCGTTTCACTCACCTCTCTCGTGTATGATCCGATAGTCGCGTATCCGCGGAAGTGGATGCAACTGGTACATCTTTAGAAATAGGTTGCATAGGACACGATGGCGTCCACTTTATCCACTCGTGACGATGCGGCTGCGTTCATCAGAAGTTGGTCTTGAAATTAAGTTCGTTATCAGTTCATATTGCATACAAAGAAACATTCACATCATTGTCGCAATAGAATTCAGCGATGTCATAAATTCGTCTGCGAAAAATATATAAACGCATGCGAAAGTAACATGCGTACTGACACATCTGAACTAACTTCATGTTATACCTAAAGAAACACATTCACTGTGATATTCATTTTATTTTCTTCTTTTTTCTGAAATTTTATCAGTACTATATTTGAATTAAGATGAATATAAAACGGCGAAAATAACGATAATAACGCTGTTTCAATTGAAAAATTTACATTAATCTCACTGCTATATTGCAGCGAGATAAATCTGAATATAATAAATAGGTGTAACGAAATCCCACTAAAATTACGTTTCATCGATCTGTTCGCAGGTGCATCACGCTGTTGAGTGTTTTGAATCGTTCTGTGCCAGTCTCCGTTACTCTTTCGGACGCAGCGCGGCAATCTCATCTCTAAATGCAAATAGAAGCTATTACCGACGATGTACTCGTTCTTAATTTATTCCATAATCGAGACATTTCCATGAGATATTCGCGTTTCTACCTACGCGCCGACGGAAATATCCTTTTCGGTGACGAGGTCATCGAGTTGGTCCGCCAAGTAGAAGGGGAAGCCCTGGCAAGAGCGGAACATGATAGACACTGCGACACGAATGGGAGAGCGGGAGAAAACGAGAGGCTTTTAAAAGGGGCAATCGACTGTTCGGAGAGCTTCAAAGGATTCCGCGGATATTGAATAATTCCAGGTACGCGTCGTCTTATGAAATATTCCCGCGGCTAAAGCATAACTTTACGCCCGACCAACCGGGGTACCGCGTTTCGTCGCAAAGCAATTACGACGGGGTCGAAATAATCACACGGCAGTCGTTTTGCTCACGACTATTATTCTTTCGTGTGTTAGGAGAGTTTGATGTGTCTTGTCCATGCTAAATATACCCCACACAACACACAGGTCTCAAAGACCACACTTTCCGTGGTATCTGCAACTTGACATGTTTTGACATATCGATATTAATATTTGCTCACCAAACTTATTTTGACATCTTCCTTGCATAAGCGGCGAGGATTTACAGAGTTCGAATTTGCATTTGAAAATTTGTAATAAAAATATGGGCTTCATACTGCATCCGAACGTTTATTCAGATAATTTATTCATTTTTTAGTTTGACCTTTAAAAAAAAAATGTTCTGTAGCACGCTGCGAACGTTTTTCTTGATTACAAATATCATAAATACAAAATGATTTTTTCAAAATACATCAAATTTTTTGCCTATTTCGCGGCTCTCCACGTGAGGTCTACACAGTTACTCCAGTACAGACCCTTAAAACGTCTTTGAGACATGCATGTTGTGTAGGTACGGTTTTATTACCCGAAACAAAGCGATGCATGCAACCACCTTGAAGATTCGCCACCAACGTGGCGCGGGAATAACTTTAACGAGCTGCAATCTTTCACGGCCGGCAGTAAAGGAAAATTGTTACGAAAATCCTACAGTAAGAAAAATGGCGCGCGTCCCGCGAGACTGCCCGTAGAAAGTAGAGTTTTAGTATCTGAAATCAAGTTACTTTTATGTAGGTCGCTTATGATCGTATCACGAACTTTCAGAGCCTCCGAAATTCGCCGCGTTAGTGGAGGATGACGGCTGAATAGTCGAGAAACGAAGTACGCCATGGCTGAGAGAGCGAGAATTAGTAAACGAGGCCTGAAACTGCCACATTTTTCCGCGTCAGCTTACACATAAGGTGACGTCTAGCTGAAGTTCTCCATCATCGTGGCCCAATTTCATACTTTTGGATCATGTGTACGGTGATCATTCGGGATCATTCGGTGAGTCTGCTCTATGTCAACCACCTATTAGGTGGTGTTTTTTCTTCTCTATTATAAATTCATTTCTTTTACTTTGTTTCACTCGGATTTATTCGACTCTTGACGAAACATTTCTTTAGAGTCAGTTATCATGATTTTTTTCAATATATGAAAGTTTCTCCAAGTATCCTCATAGATAACCCTGAAATTAAAATTTTATTCAATTAAATCGATAAATTTAAAATCATACAATTTAATTCCAATATAATATACTTTAATCTAAATATAAAATAAACTTTCGTCGCGTCTCTCGGCTTTGTTTATAAAGTTTTGTCAAGATTTCCCGAGTTTCTCTCGTTGGACAATTCGAGAAATTTTAATGACTCCATGTTTTTATTAAGGATAAATTGATTCCGAATGTATCAAAGGATCTTGTTATGCCCTGCGTGAATAGTAATCTGCGTGAAAACGTTGGCCCCATTTGGTCCCTTTCATCCGAAAGACCCGTGAAAAGAATCGAATGTATTGACGGCCCGTAGAGCTTAACTATTCGCACAACTAACTTGGTGATCTGTGTGCGCACGCCAATAACGTCGCCTATTCCCCTTACGGCCTCACCAACCCCTTTTTGCACCTACCCCCTCGTTTCTCTCCTACGCGCGCATTCTCTCAACCCCTCTTGCCCCATTTACCCTCTCCAGTGCCGGCGGTTAGCCTCCACCGATGCTTCCACCCCCGTGAGAATATTCAGTTCGCGAGCGATGCTCGTCGCGATCGTGCCGAAATTCTGATTGGTCTGCTCGGTTTCGTTACCACGAAAACGATTGTGACGGAGAGAAAGTCGGCTTGCTGATTCTTCGCGAATTTCGCGTTCGCGTATACTCGTGCGTATCGTGGAACCGGAAAGAAAAACACGTCGGAGCAGGTGTAAAACCGTCCCTGAGATTCTCGTACGCGATCTGTGATCGATATGGTGGAATAATATCAGCTTGACACTTCGGATTCGCACGTGGTGAGTTTCTTTGAAAAATAGTTTTAGAAAACAGAAACCGTGTAGAATGTAGAATTTAGTAGAATGTAGAATTCTTTAAATAATCATGTATATATATAATAACATATGTGTGTATATATAACAGTGTGTATATATACATGTTATTACAATAGCATGAATCGTGAACGTTGTTGAATAGTGAAATGCGAAGAACATTATTTATTTTATAATTTTCCATTTCCGATATATGAAATATTCTAGGGATTAAATCACAAATTAAATCCCGATTTTTCCATAAATTCGATTCACAGTTAATTGAACGAAATGTTTTTCTCTGCAGTTTTAAAACGTGATTCTCTCTTTCAAAATACATTATAGCAGACAACATTAAGTAATATTGATACGGAAGGTGATAAATGCAGAAAATTTTTACACGTATGAAAATCCCAGAGAATATATTTTGTAAATTTTACGCAATCTGAAATACTGCAGCCCACGGTCGCTTTTAATCGGCCGTTCTGCTCGTTAGCGATCCAACATAGTGATTGGTTCGGTAAACAAAGAGACAACGGCAAAGTTGCGTGGTGTAAATATAATTATGTGAGAGGTTGTTAGCGCGGGGACAAGTAAACACACCGTAGTGTGCTCCACTTTAACGCGGTTAATTTGTCGCAATTGCAAAAACGCGCATTATTTCCTCGTTTCAGGATGCATAGCTTAATGTCGTTTATTATTATGCTGGAACACGACATGCGGGGTGTCACGTGAACATCGCGCGTTTTGTGCTGATTTACGTGGCTCCGCGACATCAAAACTGTTAGAGCAGATGAAGTATGCATGAGTTCAGCGAAAGGAGATATCACCTGCGGCTTAAAGTTTTGGCTTTCCTTCAAGATACACATTTCCGCTACATATTGAGGATCGCGTTTAAAATGCGTCGCCCGTCCGCCAGGATATTACGAAACTCGCGAGCACGATAATGAGATTAATAAGAAAGCAATGCGTATTATCACAGGCGCGTCTTACGACGAACGTAGTTATGAGGCCTTTCACAAAGACGCCAACTGGTTTCAAGCGATATACAAAGTGCACGTGTTTGCACGCACTCGACATACGTTTGCCGCGCATCTCATTAATATTCCGAAACGTTCGAAACTACCGCATTAATCTCGCCGGATTGTTGAACGATAACGACGATGATCGTGCGCAAGCTTCGACTGCTGTTGCGATACAGGCGAATCATCGTGACATCATTAATGGACCGGTGAAGACGGAAGTGATAATAAACGAGACTGTCGAGATCTCGTAATTAGCTCGCTTACGGACACGCGCGTTTCGGGGCGAGGGATTACCAGCAGCGGCGTCGGGTCTTTGACCTTAGCGGGGGCACTTAAATCAGCGGTATTGGATTTGTGTCCGACTGGGAAAATAGCACTCTTGGAAAATGAATATCTATTTTGGTTGTTGAAGCGACGCAGTCAGTCGTACCGATGGGTAGTCCGCCGTCAAGTGGATTTAAGGTTATTGAACTTGTTCATTGATCCCTCTCTGTGCACCGGCACAGCCACCACCATCGCAACACCACCACGAACAACCGCGAACCACCCGCCGCCGCCGCCGCCGCCGCCGCTGCCGTCTCTCTCGCCGCCTCCGCCTCCGCACCGCTCGAGTTCGCAACTCCGTTCGCAAGTCCGCCGACTGCCGCCTACCTCTTTGCACCTGCGACGCTTCTGAATTCTCAATGCGCACGTAAAAATGCATTAATCCGATCCGGAATGTTATCTGCTCGCGTGTTAGTACCGCGGGTAGCCGTGCATTATGCAGCGCGATCACACGTGCACACGTCCCCTCTATTTAATTTCGGGCTCGCGCTTCTTGTCGGAGCGATGTGTGTTCGTTTACATGATTAATGCCTATCCCGACGCGAAATTAACGGCGCTCTCTCGGTCGCGTCGACCAGCGCACTCTAGCCGCGGGGAATCTTATTTCTGCCGGTTTCGATCGTCATTAATTTCACTCCGGGTTTAATTCGGGAATTTCCCGGTGCAACGACCGTACATGGAAAACAACGGCGTTCTCGCAAAAGAGACCGCGGACAATACGTCGGTCCTTGATTTATACCGCTCCATGAGTACACCGCGACCGATATTATTTATATCGCGCAACTCGCGACGCTGATCGCGGAATTTATGGCGGCGTTAAATATTTATTGAGGAAAAAGCCCCGCGCGCGCGGGAGGTTTTACGTCTCGGACAGTTTGCGCGTCCGATGGCGGAGTGACGGTACGTTCTGCCTACTCCGTTTCTTCTCTTCTTTTCTCTCCATTCAACCCGCTGACCTCGCTACCAACGTGCTTGTGGAAGCAGCCGAAATTTCTGTCGAGCTATGCGATTTCCATAGTTCCGAATAGCCAAGCCAAGATATATTAAATGATACACGCCATTCGCGAACGGTGCACTGCGATCGTTTCGCGCACCCTTCCGCCGAGCGCGCGTTCTGTCATATGCACGACGATGTTTCCATACTTCGCGAACGGCGAATCGTATATCTGTGTGTGGAAAGTTAACGCGTGTGTACAACAATGAGCATACGTTTCGAACGCGTATTCCGATACATGTGTTGTTTGGAAAAAACAGCTGTAGCGTGTGGCGCGAATTCAAGTCGTGCCCGACTCGTTGATTCCGAAGAAGCCCGAGCGTCACGAACACCCGACGCGCATTCGTCATCTTTGATCTGTCAAAGAACATAAATCGCGATAATCGTGCACGCAGCTGCGCGAAATCCTACATATTTCGTGAATGCGACGATGTTGCCTCGCGGACGATCAAGAGCGCGAGTGTGCTTCATCGTCCGATCAACGGCAGTCGACAGCGTGATAGCCTTTTCTGTCGGATTAGAGCCGTACATTATATTGCAAATCGCGCGTCGGTCCTTCCGACCCGACATTCGCGTATCGCAGAAATCGTATAATCGCGCAGCGGATGGAATGTCGTCGAATTATCCGGGAAAAAATGACGAGAGCGAAAAAAAGACAGGGGGAAAATACACCGACCTGTCGGACAATAGGTCCCTCCGCGTTGCTCGCATCCGAAACGGCGAAAATTGAATTCGCGGAGACAGTGACAGGTATTCGATACAGGAAGCTTGAGCACGGCTAATGGCCAACGTTCGCCGGCGTTCGCGCGTCTTGCGACCTGACACGGACGAGGGTGTAGTCTCCTTACGTCGGGATACAATCTCGCCCCGATATCGACCTCGCGTCTCCTCCGCCCTCGCGGAGGATACACTTGACACACTGCGATCCGATTGTCAAAAATTCAAAAGCCGCGCACCGCCGCTCGCCTGAATTCTGCATCTGTCGATGCTATTCCTCGCGTCGCTGGTGACAACGCGAATTCTTGCAAGTTTCAACTTCAGCTAATCGTCCAATCAACATATTCGCCGTTTAAATTTCAGATGACTCCGACGAATTTCAGGACGCTAGATTGCGGCACGGATAACGTTTCGGTTGCTGTTTTCGAAACGTTCCTTGTAGAACTGACGCGTAAATTAGCGAATGAATGAGTTATTCGATAATGTACAGGAGAGAGAGAGGGTGCAGAGAAACGTTGTGCTGTCGCACGTTATCGGAATAGCGCTCGGGCTGTCGAATATTTTCTCGAGAAAGTTCCTGAGAGAAAGATTGAGACATCAGTCGATATCTCGCGTTAGATTACCGCGCTAAGTAGGTCACAAGCTGAGGAGACAACGTTCACCTAGCGGAGTTTGATTCAATTTGTCTCGGCCGAAGGATACTAACGAAACTGATCGTTACGGAATCACTTTGGCTTTTAGCAAGTTCGGGAGCTTTGGACGTGTATTAATACGACAAAATTCTACAAGAATTACTAGCATTGTAGACATTGAGATTGAGGGGAAATGGAATAAAGGAAATTAGAATGGAAGATTAGGAGAAGGTGGAAAAATAAAAAAAATATGTGTGACTCTATTAAATCGTAATTTAATAGCGGATAAAAGTGAAAAAG